GGTTATTTTAGAGGAATGACCTCCATGAAAGTACAGTTATTTTAGAGGAATGACCCGCATGAAAGTACAGTTATTTTAGAGGAATGACCCCCATGAAAGTACAGTTATTTTAGAGGAATGACCCCCATGAAAGTACAGTTATTTTAGAGGAATGACCCAGTCATTTTAGAGGAATGACCCCCATGAAAGTAGTTATTTTAGAGGAATGACCCCCCCATGAAAGTACAGTTACTTTAGAGGAATGACCCCCATGAATCTCTGATAGGAACGAGCCACTAGAACAATTTAAGTTCCATTGGGGATTCTAATCAGAGTCATCTGCACTATGCTTCAACACGAAACTCAACAAGGTTATCCACTATCCACTCAATCAAAATACAAAACTGTTGAATAAATTACAAGGTCGGCAAAATCTACAGTCAACTACCCTTCAGATAAAGCAGAGCAATGAAGTACACACAGGAAAAAAGAAGCATTGACACAAAAGTCAGAAAAAAAAGTTAATGGTGCTGGGTACATTGAAGCAGAGATTGAGAAAGGTTTATTTATGCCGAACGAACGACACAGTGGAAGGTAGTGCTGGGCGGATGAGTTCCCGATTATTGCAAGCTAGGAATCGTAGGAATCTACTCCGAACCCAATTACTTATTGTCTAATGATGTGATTTTTTTCCGGTGGTTACCTGGTTGGCTCCGAACGTCTTCAGGATTTAGGATAACCTTTACTTCGGAACACTACGAAGCATCACCTTTTATTTTTCAAAAATAGATTCTTAAAAAAAAGAAGAAAATTTTAATGGTAAAACCGTTGGTTTACGTAAAAAGGAGAAGGAACTTTACATCCGTAGTATTAATCGTGGGAATCGGTTCCGGAATCGACTCTTCGCCCAGCTCTAGTGGAAGGATAGAATTTTTTCACTTTTCCTCTACTTCTCTAAACCTCATTTTCACAGTGTGAGGCATATATATGAGTGCATTGTTTCATTTTCAGCAAATCTTCTTTATGAAAGGAAGAATTGTATAGCTCTCAATATCCCTCCCTTGCTACATCTTCCGTTTAAAAATAACTTTAAAATTATTATTCTTTTATTATTGGAAGGCTAAGACATCTTTGAAACCATCTAAGTGGCTGGTTATTTTAATTTTAATTTTTCATTCTCCTTCTGATACCTATTCCCCCCCCCCCCAAAAAAACAACAACAAACAACAACAACCAAACCCAGCATCTGAAGTGCACACTTCATGGGGTACATAAGCCCTGTGGTACTGTAGAATTATTTTGACACTAACCTACAAAAACCAATTTGATATCATAACATTAAAGCATAAAAAATAAGGAACTAAATGAACTAATTGTCTCAGTACACACAAGAATATATATATAAATGAATAAATATCAAACACAAAAGCAACAAAAATGCAATAAAACGGGAGATAAACTCTAATCAGCAGAAGAGAAACACAAACTAGCCCACTGAAAGCATATATAATATGCGTACGTTAACTGCTGCAGAGAAACTGAAAACATGTAAAGACAATAATATATATATGAAGAATCCAGGAGAGTGTTTCACAATTTCAGATCACTACAAACATGTATAACTGAAATCCACAAACTTGTCAATGTTGCAATTTATTTCTAATCAACAAGACTAACCTTTGCTGAAAGACCTTGGGGGAACTCTGAGTCAAACCGGTTACTAAGACCAAATCTGAGGAAATGCAAAAGTGAAGAAAAAAATTTTTTTTTAATGTAAAAAATAAAAGATGAGTTAGTCAAGGCTGTGTTAAATGTCCCGAGTCCTCTTTAACAGACAACGAAACAATTCTTATTTTAGAAGAAAGCCCAGGCCTCAAAGTGAATGTAGAGAAATTTAGAAAAGTGCCTTCAATTGCTTCTTGTTGTGACAGAAAATAACTGAAAGGGGTTATCTTTAAATGTAAAGAAGACAAAAACAAAGCGTAGTTAATTAAACCCCCCCACAAATTCCTTTAAAATTATGATCTCATACAATTATATGGTTACTTATGTTAGGTTAGGGTTAGGATAAAAGAAGATTGTTGAGTTTCATGGAAGGAAAATGATTTTAAAATGGTCGCAGTTCACTAATTAAAAACAATTAAGAGACAATAAATGTGGTTTCTCGAACACTTGAATAGAGCAAAGTATGCAATAAACCGCCTTGATTCAACATCTAGAGTTTCTAATGTCACTGGAAAAATAGAAAGAGAAGATAAAAGACAAAGAAAGGAAGGGGTAAACCGAGAACAATTTACACTTCACAACTTGAACTGATTAGTGAAGAGGCCGGGAAAAGACCGGACCAACAAAGGCAAAGGTTTGTTTGAGAGCATCCAAGCAGAGAAATGAGTACCAAGCCAGAATTGTCTCTCTCTATATTATACACTATTTCAGACAGAATCAGGACCCCCCCCCCCTCCTGGGCAGT